ATCGATCTAGGGTTTTAATTAATAAGCAGTCGTATCTCACCCTTCTTATAATGTAAACACTTCTCAATGACACGTATGTGATGAGTATTGCAGCGTACAAGCCACGTAGATGCCACATCACCCAAAACCTACAATAGCCGGTAAAGTTGGTTATCTGTGAACGGGTGAAACAAGTTAGTTGGGTAAATGAGTACAAAAATAACAATATTACCCATATATGAACATTTGAAATACTTAATTACCTTAATAAGTCAAATTCCCATTTAGCAAATATGGGTTGCAAGTTGCAACTTGAAAAGCTGCCATATTGTATCTCATCCGTTTGATATGTTTTAAACTTTTCATACCAAATTTTTAGTAAAGTTTTTATATTTATTAGTAAAAGAGTAAATTACACGAATGGTCCCTATGGTTTGGGGCAATTTACGTGTTTGATCTCTAACTTATTTTTTTAACTCGAAAAGTCTCTACTGTTTGTTTTTGTTACGTCATTGGTCTCTACTGTTTGTTTTTGTTACGCGCTTGGTCCATATCTTACTTAAAAATACTACTATTATTTAAATAGGGGAAATGGTGGGGTAGATTAGGTAAGGTGAGGGGGATGAGGTTGGTGGTGTGTTTATTTAAATAAATTAAAAAATCAATGGCAAAATAGATTTTTTAGGTAAGACAGGGACCAAACGCGTAACTAAAACAAACAGTAGGGACCTTCTGAGTTAAAAAATTAAGTTAGGGACCAAATGCGCAAATTACCCTAAACTATAGGGACCATTCGTGTAATTTACTCTAGATAAAACCCGTTAAATAATCATCGTTTCCAGAAATTTGATACATGATTTTTAAGTTCAAAAAACATTATATATGATGCATGTAATTTTAAAACTTTTGACTAGACAGTCATTTTTGCTCACTCTATCATATTTTTGCCATTAACTATCATTTGATTAAAATAATACAAGGATATTTCCATCATTTCACGTGTAACCTCTGATTAAATAAGGGAAATGATTATGTCATTCGATCATCTTCACGTCAACTCCCAAACTCGTCCCTCTCCCAAGAAAACACAAAGTTTCGTCTTCGTCCAACCATTTGAGTACAGGGAGCAAATTTGGGTTTTAGGGTTTATTCATAAGGAATCGACAGTGGTTCTCTCAATATGGACTTTGCATGAGAAAATTTCAAGCTTGAAGGACTTGCAAGCCAGATACGGTATGATTCTACAAAACATAAGTTTTGTTTTCTTAGTACGTGTTCATGAATAAAAATCATTATGTTTACCCTATCTATTTTGTGTTTGCAGAAGGATGTGACAACTATTTCACGTTGAATATAAACTATAGTGGTATCTTCATCAAGTCACCTAGAAGAAACTACATTGACAGTACAGTATCATACGTAGCTGACATTGATACTAATTTATTTTCAGTCCCATGAGCTTGATGACATGGTTCGAGAATTAGGATACCAAACTGAGCAGACCCCTGGTCAGCGGCGGAATCGTCAGGCGGTGAGACGATGTCATGGAACATAGTTATTGAGTACATAGAACAAATACAACAAATAACATAAAAAATGGACATTCCTATTTCTGAAAAAGTAAATTACATAAGGTTAGTCTAGAGTTACAAGAACTTGAAATTTCAAAAGCATGCCTCTTAACAGTAGGCCATTCTATAAAACTATAATACTAAACTAAGAAGATTGTGACTCCACGACTTATTCCATGAGTATAAACTTCCAACTCTTAATTATCTAAGAATACATGTTATTTTGAAGAGTGACAACATAATGTTTGTGAGTTCACATGTTTGAAGTAGTTGAATAATAAGTATTTTTAAATCAAAAGTAGTTTTCTCGATGTATATTAGTGGTTTCCGAGCTTATATATTACTAGTGAACTATGTACACTTTCAATGTTACAATGAGTATCTATAATCGAGCTCTGGCTAGGTAGATGTGCTCTTCCTGACACTCCATTGGATATTTTAATAAGTAGACAATTATCATCTATTGTGGCTAGACCGTCAAGGTTGTATCTAACAACCACAGGCGGGGTAGTCAACCCGTATAGATCTATACATAATTCCTTCGCTCACGAAGATTAGTAGTTATAAGTCAGGGGTATTAGGTAATTAATGTGTTTAATGTAACCATTTAGTTATATGTTCTATGAGTTCATAAGCCTAAACATGTACATAAAAATTCTCAGACATAAGTTCGACAACATATATACGAATGCATAAGTTTGTAGGTTTACAAGCATGAACATGTACACAAAAGTTCGCATGTATAATTGTAACGCCAAGTTTCCAGTATGTTCATATAAGAAATTAATGTCTAAAGTCTAGAAATTTTTGGTGGCCACGACGTGGCCATAATTTGAGGATGCGCGTATCTTTAATGGGTGCCACGATGTGGCAAAATTATGGCCATGGCGTGGCAGCTGTTTAATGACAACCCTAATTTTGGGGTTTACTCCCCTATTTAAGGGATGTGGTGGTTGGGATTCGCTTACCCTCAGCCTACATCACCTCCCTTCCTCCTTCACTGAAACCCTAGCTCCATTTGTTGAAGCTTTTGAGTTTTTGGGTGATTTTTAGCCAAGAAGAAGAATAGAAGAAGTCTTAGTGCATCATCTCAGCTTGCAAGCCTCACCATCCTCCTTGTACACGTTTTCTGGACTTTTTTAAGTCCTCAAGTTCCAAGCTTCATGACTCCATGTTCTTAGATATATGTTTTCTTGTGTTATCCTTCATGTTTAGGCTAGTTGGAAGGTTTGGGTTCAATAAAGTTGCAAACTTTATGGATCCCCATAGCCCATTTATGGTTTAGAGTGATAGATCTCAAGTTTGATAGAGTTTTGAACTCTTGCATGTGATCTTGGCCCCATTTTTACACTTTTTGACCTAGCTTGAGCTAGACATTCATGTCTACAAAGTTGTGATTTTTATGATCTTTTGGGGGTTTGGAAGCATTTTGGAAAGTTTGAATAAGGGGGGGCGTGGGGGGAGGATTAAGAGCTTAATGGATTTGGTTGGTTTGGAAGGTTCCCACGACATGTGTGATATATGATGTTTATGCGGGTAGCACTAGGCCGGGTTCGTGTCTTGTGGGAGTATGGTATTCGCTCATGTGCTAAGGAATATGTATACGAGGACTCGGCGTATCTGAGTGGGGGATCGGGCGTAGCCAATGTGTCCTAATGGGTTCAGGTTCGGGGGATCGAGCTTAACCAATATGTCCCAAGGGCTCGATGTATTGAGCAAGAGGGGTCAGGCATAACCAACGTGTCTCAGTAGGTGTATGTTTTTATTGATTCGTTCTTTAATATGCATACGTAGTTGTGTGGCTGATATTGTTGTTATATGTGTATTAGGGGTATAGCTTGTATGATATGATACTATGTATATGTAAAATTCACTAAGTTTTGTGCTTACCCATTTCCCCTTAAAAATACTGTTTCAAGATCAATAGGTACTCATGATGGCAGGAGGTAACAATACACAGCGGCTCAGATCGATTGGTAAAATTTTTATATTACATTGGATTATGTCTTATTTGATTTTGGAATCTATAACTATCAAACGGTTTTCGATTGGGATTCTGGTTTTGAACTTATTTTGAATAAAGATATGATTTTGTTTATATTTATGTTGTTTGAAAAGAAGTTCAAATTTATTGCAAATTTTGGGACGTTGTATATTTTAAAAAGATATTTGTTATAGGCAACAACAAATCTGTTATCTAACTTAACACCAGATTTTTCGACAAAAGATCCATCGTTTTATCTCCCGTATATAGGAAAACCATTCACATTAATTGAAGTATGATTAGAGAATAATTTGGAAAGTTTTTAGAACACTTTTTATCCACTATGCATGGGTAGTTGATATTTTCAACTCCATATAACCATAGACCAAGAACTCATTCAAAATGAACACAATGATGGATCTTCATGGATTTTTGGAATCCCGGTGGAAATAGTGGGATCAATATGTTCAATAGTAGGAAGCTTGTAATCATCTTGAATAAACAAACAAACCATATTTTTGAAACTCAATTGTATAAACAACTACACATAGAAATAAACACATAACATATGATTTTTAGTACAGGAAATATATAAACTATAGAATAAAAAACACAATTTTTTTTGTCAATCACAACAAGAGAAATTTAAATATAAAATGTTAAATTATTAATAATAAATTTAAACAAATGTTTGAACCATGCCGAATTATAAATTTTCCTTTAAGTCTTTCATCAATGCATTACATTTTATCTTAAATAGCCTACATAAGATACCAGGTCTATCTTCAGGGTGAAGTGTAGTGTCTTTAAGAAACCTTTTTAACTTTAGGTCATTTTGGATTATATGTAACACTGTGAAGAAATAAAGATTTCTAACCCACTTACAAAGTGATAGGACATATAAATAGTTATGCATCATGTAGTGTGCACCACTAGTAAAAAATGTTAGAAATATTTGTATTCCCCCTGATCTTGTAGCTTATGTAAATTCTCATAAGATTTACATCTAAGAACTTTTTGTTGGTTCATTATGTAATAATCTTTCACTTCCAATCATGTAATAAACATCAACCAAAATTTGTTGGAACAACCTTTTTAAATTCAAAACTAATGACAAAGAATTAACCTTGTATTCAGTTCTATACACTAAAAATTCTCTCAATGTACAGTTTGGCCGCTTGATGTTCCTTGAACACGTAACAACTCTATGATGGATGTCAACTCTGTAACCATCATTGCCATATGAAATAGTAGTGGATACCGATGAACAATGCAAGAATGATGTAATTCACTAATACGTTGTAGAGATCTTGATGAAGTTTGAACAATACTATCTCTATTTTTTGGTGCTGGCTCATCAACGTTCTTCTTCTTATTAAGGAAAAAAGACTTTGAAAAGCCAAGTAAATTGTATTTCAAGGTGGTAAATTTTGGTCTAGATCATGATCAAGCAACAAAGTTGATTGATGACAACATTTGACATTTTGATAAAATGGTAGTTTGAGAAAAGACGATAAATGTCATGATTCAAGAAAAATTTCCTTTTGACTACCAAATCATTGACGTTGATGCATATTTTCAGTTAGAAATGCTTTGTTTTTGTTAAGCTTAATGATGCAATGTAATTTCATTTTTTGTAATTTCCAAACTCAAAAAAGAAAATTTATGTTTTTTTTTCAAATTAGTTATAGTCATATTTCAATCGGTTCTTATAAATTCAACTTATTTTCATCCAAATATGATATGAATCCGATTCGGTTTATGCTCAATCCGGTTTTAACTTTGTTGACACAATCCAAACGAGTTTTAAACCTATTCCATTCTCATGAAATACCCAGCTTTATACACGGTGTTTAAGATTGAATTTGAAAAATGCTTATCCACTTATTAGTTTTTTTATAAAACCAAAAAACTTAAAAAATATTCAGGAAATAGACAAGTGTTTTTGAAAACAACTTTTTAGTCCATTCAAAAAAGAGTTTTTATTGAAAAATTGCTTATGACTTCTTCATCTAATATAACTATAAATTATTCAAATATCTTTCTTTTTTTCAAAAAAGACTTATCATTTACAACTTCTTAGAACAATTTTTCTAAAACAATTTTCATGACCATGTCAACTAATAATCACTATTATGAAAAAATGTTGATCGAATTCAATGAGCAAATCCCATAGACCCATAAGTCTACCTCCAACTCCAAGGCTCCAAGTCCACCATTTGTGTATGCCACGGCGTGTACTCGGGTTTAACACAAAGACCCGGTGCGGTGGCCCAACTCCAGCTGTTCTTCACTGTTTCCGTCTCTCTTTTTGGGTCCCATTCTCCAAGTTCTCTCCTTTCCATTTATAATATCTTGTAATTACAAAAAACCATTCCCCTTTCTGTCGAACCTTCCCACATCCCCTCAAAAATGAAGTCAAAATTCATCGAAAAAAACATGCCTGCTTGGTTTGGCAGAAAATCCACCAAGAACAAGGACAATCAGCAGCGGAATCAAGACCAAACTCATCAGGAAAACCCATTTTACAGCAATAATTATCAGACTTTGAGCAACAAGCCGTCACCCATCAAGAATGATAACGATAAGAAGCACAAAACGAGCTTTGATGATGCCATATTGGCTCGCGGCTTCCCGCATGCCAGCCGAGAGTTCTCTCCTTCTTCTTCTTCTCCTACTCCGTTGGCCGGAGCCGGAACCGGAATAAACGGGTCGTCGTCTGGGTTTTTGGGGTTTGATTCGGATCGTGTCGCACATCCTCTACCTCAGCCGTTTATATCCCCAACGACTTCGCTTGGAATGGTGGATCCTAATGGTTCCGGGTCGGAGTCCTCCAGTGGCGGCTCTTCCGTGTCTTCTGCTGATGAACATAATCTTGATCATGGTCAATTGGGGTTTTTCAGGTTGGTTGGTGCAAATTGTTTTCTATTAAAAAAATTGGTTAATGGGTATTCTAGTTTGTTAAATTAGGTTTAGCTTATGTTCATGAATCATGATCCCCTCTTATATACTTTCATATTTTGAGGCTTATTAATTGATAATTTACAAATTCAGAACCCATTTCATTTCAATTACCAACAAATAGATTAGAGTTTCATGCTATCTGTGTTGATTCTTTATAATACTCAAATACAATATGGAGCTGATTTCAGTTCAATTTGCTACATCCTGTGATCAACTTAATCCTGCTATAAGGGGCTCATGAAGCTCTCTTGATTCCATTGTTGTTATTTACTCTTACGTGGTGGTCATATCATATGTAATCTGCAGTGAAGTACCAAATTGCTTGTTCTTGATCCTAAAATTAACTCAACATGAAGCTGTATGTGACTTTGTTCTAGTTTCTTTTGAATATACTCGTTATCAGGGGTCAAACTATGAACAAAAGATTACGATAGTATGAGAGCTTAAATTCCAATGTGGATTGGGCTTACTTACTTCTCTCAAGTTGATTAATTTGATCCTAAACAATAAGAAATTCATAACTTTTGCCAAACACCCTAATTATCACTTCATTGTGTTCATAATATGATTTATTAATATATATTTTTTTTTGTTGAACAGAGGATATGGGGAGGCGAAATTCAGCCCTCAATCAAGAAGTCCTACTCCAGGATCAAGAGTGGGGACCGCAACCACTTCGCCACTTCATCCACGGTTTGCTAGTGCAAGTCTAGACTCACCTAATAAAAAATTAGAAGATGGAAAAAGTGAATATCATCCACTTCCCCTTCCGCCACCTGGCTCACCTACAAGCCCTACTTCTGCTTTATCAAGTATCAAGACTTGTAGTTCTCCTACTAGCCCCTCTTCTGTTTTATCCAATATGAAAACTCTTAGTGTTGTGGAAAATTCAAATTCTCATTCTCAACCTTCTAAGTGGAAGAAAGGAAGATTGTTGGGAAGAGGTACTTTTGGACATGTTTACCTCGGATTCAACAGGTAATTTGTCTGGTTTTGTGTTTTTTAGGACACTTTATATGATGATTGTGTTAATGAAAATGTTTTAGTTTTTGAATTTTATCTCTAGGGCTCTTATATGTTTATATTGACTATTCTATAATAAGTATATTTTTGATAATGTAACACTACCTTCATCTCCAATAGAAGTCCACAATTGACTTTTCCAAATGAGTAAGGTGTTGTTTCTTTTTGACTTGATAGAATTATAAGCTATATATATGACATATGTGTGTTTCTTTTTGACTTGAAGTAGAATGAATGAGTCAATAGAGAAAGTTAGGTGTTTATTAGATATTGATTATTAGTTTAACACTTCCTTTGAACTATATGTTTAGCCAACTGTTGTCCTTTTTGGACAAAGGAATAGTTTTTAATGTTAGAATTTCCAAGAAAAACTATCTTTCAACTATGTCTACTAATTAATAGATATGTTGTTATGTTTTGATAGTGAGAGTGGGCAAATGTGTGCAATAAAAGAAGTAAAGGTTGTTGTAGATGATCAGTCATCAAAAGAATGTCTCAAGCAATTGAACCAAGTATGTTCTTCCATCTTTTCATACTTAATTTCAACCTAATATTATTTTTATTTTATTTTTTTGTATTTTCAATCCATGAGCTTTTCTGAAAAGTTTCATTTCTTTGCAACAGGAAATCACTTTGCTTAGTCATCTTTCACATCCAAACATTGTTCAATACTATGGAAGTGAACTGGTAAGACTCATCATCTTAAAAAAAAAACCTCCAAATTTTACTCTAGGGGTAAAAAGGTCATTTTAATAAGTTAATAAGTTGTGGATATTTTCAGGGAGAGGAAACACTATCTGTGTACTTGGAATATGTCTCGGGTGGTTCCATACACAAATTACTTCAAGAATACGGTCCTTTCAGAGAGCCTGTAATTCAAAATTACACCAGGCAAGTCCTCTGTGGACTTGCCTATTTGCATGGAAGAAATACAGTTCACAGGTAGTTAAACTCTCTCTTTCATATTTTTTTAATCTTGAATTTAGCTTCATATGATTATGTTGTTCTTGCTAATAACAATTATATTATGTTTTTTTATCAGGGATATAAAAGGTGCCAACATATTAGTAGACCCTAATGGTGAAATCAAGCTTGCAGATTTTGGCATGGCAAAACATGTAAGTCCTTTGCTTATATACAAAATTAACTAAAAAGAAGAAAAGTGGAAGGGTAGTTATGTCTTTTGTAATGTCTTATAACTATTGGACTCATTTATTTATTTCTTGTTGTCAGATAACAAATTGTACTTCAATGCTTTCTTTCAAAGGAAGTCCATATTGGATGGCTCCCGAGGTAAATTACCACTTTTCTTAATTTTTAAACCTTGTTTTGTAACACGTTATATATACATATTACATACTAATGCAAAATCTTGATCTCAGGTTGTAATGAATACAAATGGTTACAATCTTGCAGTGGATATATGGAGTTTAGGATGTACAATTCTTGAAATGGCAACATCAAAGCCTCCATGGGGACAATATGAAGGGGTATAACTATAACATACATTTGATATCTTTGATAAAATCAAGGTTACATATATGAACATCTTATTATTGTTGTTTATTTTTTTTTGTCCAGGTGGCAGCAATATTTAAGATTGGAAATAGCAAAGATATGCCGGAAATTCCTGATCATCTTTCTAACGATGCAAAATCTTTTATAAAACAATGCCTACAACGGGACCCGTGTTTACGACCCCCGGCCTCAAAACTTTTGGATCATCCTTTTGTAAGGGACCAAGCTACATCAAGAGTAGCCAATGTCAACTTAACCAAGGAAGCATTTCCTTTCACCTTTGATGGAAGTCGTACACCGGTAAACTCTTTTAGATATCTGCCTATACATACATACATACATACATACATACATGCATTGCCTCTTGCTAACTTTTCATGGTGGTTGATGATGAAACAGACGGCTTCGGAAATGCACTCAAACCGAACAATCATGAATTCGTTTGATGGGCATGTAGGGACAACATCTAGAGGCGCAATGTTGAGTCCAAGGTAACTGTTTTTTTACTCCCAAGAGGCTATATTTGATTAGAATGAGGATGAAGATGAGGAGGGCATTCACGTCTTTTGCATAGACTAGAGATCAGAGTCTCTACCCCACCCCCACCATCTTCCACGTTTTCGCGTGGGACAAAAAAATGATAATATTTGTCCCATTCACACCAAACACAATACAACATGTTCTGTCTTATCATATCAGACTTAAAAGCACACCAAACGGCAAACACAGCACAACCTGTTTTGTTTTGTCTTGTCCAATCATATCAGTCTCATATGTCATGCATGTCCTATGGTGGGCCCAAATGGTAGTGTAGTTGTGCTAAAGATTGTGTGTGTGTGTATGTGTGCAGGAGAAATACGAGAATGAACACTTCGTTGCCAGTATCACCGACTTCAAGCCCATTAAGACACTACGGATCTGCATACAAGAGTTGTTACGTATCACCCCCTCATCCATCCTATACAACCATTCGTCAAAATAATAATTACAACAATTTTAACGACATCTTAAGACCCAATGCCAAAACCACACTAGAACCATGGTATGAAACCCCTCAAGCTAAACCCCAAACACCCACTAGATCCCCAAGATCACGTCTCATTTGATCGTGAGTCACCAAAAGACCTGCATAATTGAAGGTCGATTCAAAGACAAAAGTGTAATAGAGTTTGATTGACATCTGGAAAGAATTGAGTTGATGAATACGGCTTGAATGGAGAGAGGAGGGTATATTCGTCTTTGTGGTCTAATGTAAATAAAACCGGCTAGCATGGGTTTTCATTACTGTATACAAAAGTAAAACAAAGCATGTTAGAGAGTGGTCGTTTTCTATGACGTTTGTGGCTCGAGACTCGAGAGGTTCATGTTGACCAGATTTCTTGTAGAACGAAAATATAGGAGGGTTTTCATTTCCTTGACTTAAAAAGTATTAATCTTTTTCTGAATAATTTTTTTTGGGTATTACTCTTTTTTCTGCAAAAGGTTTATTCTAAGCTGACCCACATCGCTGGGGGAAATCACCTAGACAGTCTGTTATGTTTGGTGGCTGACATAATATAAGGCCCAAAATGTTCGTAAGGAGTCCAAATTATGATCATAATGAGATGTAATATCGTATCCACACATGCCCCAAAGAGGTTTTGATGTTGACATTTCAAGAATTGTACATCCTAAGCTCCTAATGTCCATTCATTGCAAGGCATGAGGAAATATTGATTCGACATTATCCTACTCATTAAAATACGAGACGTTTTAAGTTGTAATTCATGCAAATTACGAGGTATCATTAGAGGTGGCAAATCGGACAATCGTGTAGTGTTTTTGTCTGACATGATACGATAAGGTTTTATGTAATACGAACACGACACAATATAATGTTTTTTTAACTAACACGAAAACGAACCAATTAAAAAATGACAAACATGACATGACGCGACAAATATAACATAAAATAACAATTAGTTTATTTAATTAATATTTAATCACACATAATGCGATAAACACGAAATACACGACAAATAAATGTTAAATTGTGTCAATTTCCTGTCTAATTTTGAAAACGAACACAACACGACATCATGTTTTTTACACTTGACATGAACATGACATGAATACAAATTAGAATTTCAGTTTCGTCTCAGTTTCGTTTCATGTCATTATTTTTGTTGTCTCATGTCATCAATTGCCACTCCTAGGTATCACTATACTTTCCAGAATATATTAATTCATGCAAATTTTGAGGCATCACAATGAATTTTATGAATCCTTGTATCGTAGACATCTAGAGATCTAATGTACATACAAAAATGATATTAATAATGATTCAACCCGATCAAAATTAATCCACCTCACTAATATCAAAATTAATCCACCTATCTAATATCAAGGTAAAATCAAGGTCAGTCCAAACATATTTTGGCTCGGGACAAGAAGAGAAAAAGGGCTCCCGGAGTCATAAGTATAATAAAGATTCTCGAATGTTGAAGAATAGCTCATCGCATATGGTGGATTAGTTGAAGATCGACTGATGTTGAATAATGATGATTTAACCATTCATCGTTACTTAATCATCTTCATAACTACCACGGAAGCAACAAAACCGTATTAGACATAGAAAAATATGCGATTATATGGTCTTCAAACTCATTAAGCACCTTTTGCATAACATGGAATAGGTGTTTCTTATCATATCTTCATACGGCAATATGAACACAATGACTTTATTTGTAACGGTTAAGACTAAGCTTTTACATGAAAACGATAACGTGTAAAGATGTATTATTTATAAAACAATTTCGAAACAACCATTTTCGTTAATTTTTCAATCTTTCAATCAGTTAGACACTACACTTTCACTTTCTTTCAAAAAACCATCTCTAGTCCAATCTTTATTAGACTGCAATAATTTCTTGATTGCCCGTCTCTCCCGAATCACTTCTTGTTGTATTCTCACTAGTTCAATGTGCATAGTTATATATTTAAATTGATGCCCTGCATGAAAAGATAAACTATTTCAAATCCGGAACAAATATTCTTTCGTTTATAAAATTTAATTCAAAGTTCCATTTTCAAAAAAGTTATGAACTCCCAAGAAGTCCTTGAGCTCCTTGTACATCTTCAATACCTAATCATACTCGTACATGATACATCATTACACTTGTGCATACCTAAATTACAAATTAATGTTTAGCAGTTTGAGCCATTATTAACAAAATATATTCCAAAATTGATTTAATTTCACATGGTTGAACTATATTTGCACCAAGAAGAATGAATTTAGTAGCATCTCCATTAGTCTCGACACCTCAAATTCTAGGAATTGCGTCTCCATCTTGTAACTGTAACACCCAAAATCAGAAAGACCAAGAAAGGAAAAAAAACCCTAAGTCGAAAGAGTCAACTCGTCGAGTCCAAGGAAGAACTCGACGAGTCGGAGCGGGCTCCGTGTGGAAGATTAA